CACTGTAGCATCACCTCCTCTACCATCATCATCATCATCAACATTGATTGGTGCAGCCGGGGAATGTGAGGAAGAGGGCTCAAAATCTGGGCTACCCTCCTCCAAACCTTCAAAAGAACTAGCAGCGGAAGATGACTCATCCACCAAGTGGAATTTACTCGGGACTTGTTGTGATTGGACTTCCGACTGTGCTTGCATGGAGTTACCCTCAGAATCTTCCCCAGATGGGAGATACTCACTGGTCTCGGAGGGTTCAGGAACTCTGTTTGCGGTTGGTTTCTTGCCGATGGTCCTCTAAATGGAAAATGGTAGGTTACTCTTGCCTCGGCCTCGGCCTCGGGAGGGTTCTGCCATCCCTTTTGATGTATCTCCTCTACCACGTGATCTAACCATCGTCTGTAATTCATAACAATAAGAATCAGTTAGAGTTCAGGTTCATAGGACACAAATATATGCATGACAGTTGCAGGACAGTTGTGGAAAAACAGATGAGGCAGTGCGGACCGCACAAAAATGAGTGTGGCCGCAGACTGCGAAGTGCGGACCGCACAAAAGTGAGTACGGCCGCAGACTGCCAAGTGTGGACCACACAAAAGTTAGTGCGGCCGCACAATCAAAAGTGCGGACCGCATAATTTTGAGTGCGGCCGCACAGCCCCAGGTTCAGACTACTAGGTATCTGATCATTTAATAGTGCGGACCGCACTATTTCCCCGTGGACCGCATATTTTTGAGTGCGGTCAGCATAATTCAAGAACGCAGAAGCCTTAAGTTAAAGGACTGCGGACCGCACAAAAATGTGTGCAGTCGCACAATTTAGATTAACACGACATTGCTCTACGATTCATACAAGTTTTGAAAGAATTAGACATGGCCCTAACAATTAAGCATGATTAGCTATTACACATGCCCCAATTAACAATTATAAAGCTACCCACATGATTTTGAGAAAAGATGACTAACTATTGACATTTTTAGGCATGAAATTAACCCTAGACAAAAGAACAAAATTAAGAGAAGATGAAAAATTTAAAGATGAAATGAACATACCAGTAATAAAGGGTGCAGGTGAGAATCTATAGAGATGAAATGCTTGATGTTTTATAACTAGTGGGGGATGCACTGTGTTTTCTTAGGGCTTGAGAGTTCATAGATTGTAAAGTGTGAAAAGTATTGAAAATCCCTATTTATAGGTTGACCCGTCGGGCCCAGACCTTACCTGGTGCGGCCGCACAATTTTGAGTGTGGTCCGCACTCTTTACCTGATCTTTTGAAGAAATTCTACGGTTCGCACAAAAGTGAGTGTGGCAGCAGAATTTGTGTGGACCACACAATTTTGTGTGTGGCCGCAAATTGTTAAGGAATTTTGACAGGACAAACTTTAGAGAACATGAATTTTTGGTCTTCCAGTTGTGCTACCGCACATAGAATTGTGTGGCCGCAGAGCGATTGTGCGGTCCGCAAAATTTTGGTACGATCCGCACTTTAGTGACACTTAGCCAATTTTTCTTGCACAGTCCCTGCAATGCGCACCCATTCTTGCATACACTTCAAAACTAATTAGCACAAAACAAAGCTACCTAACAAAGAAGAAAATCAAGAAAAAAATAAAATAAAAAGGTACATGGGTTTCCTCCCAAGAAGAGCGTGATTTAACGTCGCGGCGCGACGCATATTACCAATCATTTTAAATGAAGGACCGCCATAATGTGGCCATCATCAACCTTGCCAAGATAATGTTTAACCCGGTTCCCATTGACTCTAAACACCTCGTCATTCTTATTTTCAAATCTAGAGCACCAAAGGGGGTTACATTCACCACTTCAAAAGGGCCACTCCATTTTGACTTCAACTTGCTCGGAAACCTACGTATCCGAGAATTGAACAGTAGCACAAGATCACCCTCTTTAAATTCCTTGTTATGGATGTACTTGTCATGGAGGTACTTCATCCTCTCCTTATAAAGGGACTAGCTTGTGTAGGCATGATATCGGAATTCATCAAGTGCATTCAATTGTGACACCCTTAGATTTGTCGCGACATCCCATTCAAGGTTCAACTTCTTCAAATCTCACATGGCTTTATGCTCAAGTTCTACCGGAAGATGGAATGCCTTCCCGAACACTAATCGGTATGGATACATCCCGATCGGTATTTTGTAGGCCGTTCTATAAGCCCAAAAAGCATCATCAACTTTTCTTGACCAATCCTTCCGGTTGGCATTGATTGTCTTTGACAAAATACTCTTTATCTCCCGGTTGGAGACTTCAACTTGTCTGCTTGCTTGAGGATGGTAGGGGGTTGATACTTTTTGAGTGACACCATACTTTGTGAGTAAGGTATCAAAAGGCTTGTTGAAAAAATGCGAACCCCCATCACTAATAATGGCTCTTAGGGTACCAAACCTCGTGAAGATGTTCTTTTTTTAAGAATGCCACCACACTCCTTGCTTCATTGTTGGGAAAAGCAATGGCCTCAACCCATTTAGATATATAATCCACCGCAACTAGAATGTAGGAGTTCCCACAAGAGCTAACAAATGGACCCATAAAATCAATACCCCACACATCGAAAATATCTATCTCCAAAATAGTAGTGAGAGGCATTTCATTCTTCTTTGAGATCCCACAGGCCCTTTGGAATTCATCACATCGCTTGACAAACTCACTAGCATCCTTGTAGAGAGTAGGCCAATAGAATCCACAACTCAAAACTTTTTCCGCCGTTCTTGCTCCACCATTGTGGCCACCATACGGTGAAGAGTGGCAAGCCTCAAGAATACCTATTTGTTCTTCCTCTGGTACACATTGTCAGAACACACCATTGGTACATATCCGAAAAAGAAACGGCTCATCCCAATAATAGTCAAGGCAATCCCGTTTGAGCTTCTTCCTTTGGTTTGAAGAGAACTTATTCGGTACAATGCCACTCATAAGATAATTGGCAAAGTCGGCGAATCATGGCATCCCGGTCATAGAAATGACTAGGGGTTGCCCATCGGGAAATGAATCATTTATATCAAGGCCATTATGTGGCCTCCCCTCCTCCAATCGGGACAAGTGGTCCGCCACTTGATTCTCACTACCCTTGCGGTCTTGAATCTCTAGATCAAACTCTTGCAATAGAAGAACCCACCGCATCAAACTTTCCTTGGAATCCTTCTTGCTCATCAAATACCGAAGCGCCGCATGGTCGGTGTGAACAATCACCTTTGTACCCATCAAGTACGGGCGGAACTTCTCCATAACAAAGACAATAGCAAGGAGCTCTTTTTCGGTCACTGTGTAGTTGACTTGGGCATCATTCATGGTCTTGCTTGCATAATAGACCGGATGGAAGATTTTGTTGATACGTTTCCCCAACACTGCTCCAACCACCACATCACCTGCATCACATATGAGCTCAAAAGGCAAGCTCCAATCTGGTGCGGTAATAATAGGAGTAGTAGTCAACTTGAACTTAAGCAACTTGAATGCCTTCATGCAATCTTCATTGAAATGGAACTTGGCATCATTCTCCAAATGTTTACACAAAGGGTTCACCACCTTAGAAAAATCCTTGATGAATCGGGGATAGAACCCCACATGACCCAAAAATCTCCTCACTCCCTTCACGGATGTAGGGGGAGAGAGTTTGGAGATCACTTCAACTTTGGCCTTATCAACCTCAATACCATACTTTGAAATCTTGTGACCGGGGATAATGCTTTCCTCGACCATGAAGTGACATTTCTCCAAATTCAAAACCAAGTTAGTTTCCTCACATCTTGCCAATACCTTGTCCAAGTTGTTCAAGCAATCATCAAAAGAATTCCCAACAACGGAGAAATCCTCCATGAAGACCTCAAGAATATCTTCCACCATATCGGTGAAAATAGCCATCATACACCGTTGAAAAGTCACCGATGCATTACATAACCTAAATGGCATCCTCGAGAATGCAAAGGTATCATATGGACAAGTGAAAGTGGTCTTCTCTTGGTCCTCAGAAGCAATAAGAATATGATTGTAGCCGGAGTATACATCTAGGAAGCAATAAAAAGCACGTCCGGCCAACCTATCCAACATTTGATCAAAACATGGAAGCGGAAAATGATATTTTCGAGTGACTTTTTTTAGCTTCCTATAGTCCATGCACAATCTCCACCTGATGACAGTTCTTGTGGGGATCAATTCATTCTTGTTATTAGTTATCACTGTCATGCCCCCTTTCTTTGGGACACATTGCATCGGAGAAGTCCATGAGCTATCGGAAATGGGGTAAACAACCCCGGCATCCAACCACTTTAAGAACCCTTCTTCACTACCTCTTGCATTTCTTCATTCAATATTCTTTGATGCTCCACTGAGGGTTTGGCATCCTCCTCCAAAATAATC